TCCTTTCAACAGATCCACCCAGTTGAGCTGAAGATCTCTGCATTGTGCACATTTTCCAAAACACGGTGCATTGTTTTATGAGCCAGCTCTGCTTTTAATGTTTAACAGCTTTTATGATGGAATTTGTTTACTGACTATCTCTACAAAGAATCTGGTATAAAGCTTTTTACTAATTAGTTGACTTCTGTTGGGAAATGGCTGCACAAGAATCAGAATAAAAACTGGGGAAACAAATACATATCTGAATTGTTGGGTTATTTATCTATTTTCATGCTTTCCTTTGTGCGTGAAAACGCTAAAAAGCATGGAGGTTTGTGGTTGTCACGTGGCAACATGTTCTGTTTTCATTCTGTCCTTTTACAAGAACCAGCATCACATGTGGCGAGAAGTACTAAAATGTGACAGAAAAATACTTTAGCTAATTTTCTGTCCTGGATCAATTCCTGCTTCTTTTTTTTATGTTCCTGTGTGCAATAAGAGGAGCAGGAAGACATTTTTTTCTATTGTTCCGTAGAAGTCATTTGCATCCACAACATTCTTTGTTAATTGAAACCAGGTATGATGAGTCATTCATTATTGGGAATGAGAACACAGTGAGTTATAACTTAGTCATTTTGAAACAAATGGATGCTCCATTTATCATCCTAAATTAAATGGCATTTAGACACTTCTCTGCACTTTGTTTTCAGGGTTTAACAATTTAATAATGAATTGTTTGTTCTTTTGCACTTGACAAAGAATGGTTCAGAAAGTTTTCAGCTAGGCATCCAGGCGTGAAGAACATTGGAGCTCTTGTCTAAACCAAAATAAGGGAAAGTAATTGAAAAGTGATGCATTAAAATATCTAAATAAAGGAGAAGAATCCTTCAGAACCATTGCAGTAAAGTTAGAACTTAAGCCAGTAGAGGTCAGCAGAAATAAGATTTTAAGGTTGCTGTCTAACAGTGACTGCTGTCTGTTGCAGACCAGTAATCAAACTGGTTAGACTTTCACAATAATATGCACTGTTTTCCCTCACCAGATGGTTGGGATAATAAATTACATCTGTAACCACATGTTGGACTGGAGACATTTGTATGTATAATGCTATTCAGCTTGAAATTTGTATAATAACATTATTCTATTAAAATCCAGATCCCCAAATAAAACATCTGGCTGCTGAGGCACAAAGTGTTTCAGGAGCAGATGAGGCAATGAGGTGACATCTGCAGAAGTGACATTTTGGGCCAGACTCTGCTTTGAGTCCTTGCCACACTTATTAAGAATGAATATACCAGCAGAGGAAGTTGGTGCTGACAACGGAAACACCCAACTGAGAAACCTTTCTAAAGGTAGTTACTGCTTCCAGCAGGACTATTGCAGGGTAGAAACACATTCAGTTATTTTAAAGAGATTAAAATTGCAAACAAACTCTTTAGGAGTTTCCAACAAGGAAGTTTGATCTGTTTACAACCCAAGTTGAAACTTGCTGGACTTCAAATGACTCCTGTTGGGCAATTGCAACGTCTTTTTTTTCATTATTTACATTTATTGTGTCTGTCAGTACCACACCTACTGAATATTCAACTTGTCTGTTGATAAAAACAGTTGCAGTATGCTTCATTATGACTCAGAGTTCTTGCCCAGTGATAGGTTTAGGTTTACTGACAGGAGCAACACGACTGTGAGGGAGTGTACATATCCAACTCTTGACATTAGGGTTGTCAGAGATTGAGACAAGCAAGATAAAAGCAGCACGCAGACTGCTGCAACCTAAAATTTATCTTTCTACACTGACTTTGAGAGTCGGAGTTTGGGATTTGAGTTTAAAAAAACAAAGAATTCCTTCATTTTTCTTAAAAATGTCTTTTATCCAGCACATGAATTATTATCAGAAAGCTGTGTTTTTAGTTTGCAATGACTGAAAGAGGGATGTTGATTTTCTGCAGAAAGGACATTCCCGCACGGACCTCCACTGACCAGGAATCGCTAAATGTTTGGGTTTTCTTTTAGCTCTTAGTTTTTCTTACCGCTTTTGGTCAATTCTCATACAGCTACAAATGGAGGCAAAGCTAAGATAAACCTAGAGAATAAGCTCTCCACAATAAAACAGAGAGGGCAAAATGCAGGAGCACCCGGCACCAGTGACCAGTCCGTCACAAGGCATCACAGAGGAATACAACCATGCTTCACACACATACTCAGTCTGAAGGGTAATTGACGTTGCAGTCATGTTTTTGGACTGTGAGAGGAAGCTGGAGTACCTGCAGAGAAACCCATGCATAGGGTGAAATTGTCAACTCCATGGACACCAGATGGGACTTTCTGTTTGCTTTATGTGCTGTCCTGTCTCCGGTCTGTTATCCTTGTGATTCTCAATCTTAAGATTTTTATCATCATTATTATTATTATCATTTTTAATGCAAGGCACCATAATAGATTTCCGTTTTGTGGACAGAAAACGTGATTTGAAATGAAATGAATTGGAATTGTATCAGCTAAAATCTCCAGTCTAACTGTGACAAAAGGGAACAAGAAAAAGAAACCTGGCATAAGGGAAGCAGTTTTTCTTGCCTAAGTCTGTTGCAAAAAACAAACAATACAAGAAAGAAAAAAATCTCTTTGTGTTATCAATCCTTAAAGCATAGGGAGCAACAGAGAAAGAAAGATCCATGGCATTAATATTAAATACATATTACACCCTGGTGTGCACAAACGGGAACCATGTGGGCTGAAGCATGCTGCGTCCTTCTAAACTGTAAATGAGGCTAAACTGAGGGAGGGACAGAGGAACTGCATCTCTCCCTCTGGGGAAATGTGTATGTGTGTGTGTTTCTAAGAAAGAGGGGGGAAGAAAGGATGGGAGTGTGTGTGAACTGTTATTTAGTTTCTGCCCTAACGTCGTTTACCGCATTCTTGTCTTGACTGGATGCGAACGGAGAGAGAGAGAGAGACAAAAAAGAGAGAAAGAGAGAGAGAGGAATCAGAGACATATTGGAGCTGAAACTTAGCTGCAGACGCTCCTTGTGCAGGTCAGTCGATCTTCATAATCTTTTAATATTCTTATGACAGTCCAGACTCAAGAGTGCGTCTGCGGGACACTATTGCCATCACGACTTGCTCGTTAGGTTTGAGTTGTAGATTTGCATCTACATTCGGAACGTCTTCTCCACCTTTGCGCGTTTAAACCCGGCGGACCTCAAATGCTGCTGATGATGTCAAGTCGCACATTACATTATTTTGCGTGCACGCAATGAGACCTGCAGTCGGCCACGTTTATCGATTGACTGCAGGGTTTGTGATGTCAGCCTCAAATCTCGGCACTCGAAGAGCAATCGCTTGGCGCTTTTGGTGAAATCTCCCATCATTGCGCTGTCCGGTTGACGGGGATGTCTTCACGGAGCGTTTGGATTTGGAACGCTGAACCCCAGCGCAAAAACAAAAGCGAGGTTTTACGCACGCATGCCTCCAGAAGAGCACTGTCCAAGAAAGAGGTCTCCTCTGTCCAGTGTGATAGCATCTAGACGCACATGATGTGCGAGGTGCGCAAAATGCGCGAACAGTAACATAACTCTGGGCGCTAATCAGACCAAATTCAGACTTCTGCTTTAAATGAACAAAACAAAAAACAAAAAAAAAAAAAAAAAAGGAAGAAGGCTTTGAAATGATATTAGGACGATAAACAAAAACAAACAATTACGTTTGTTTGTTAGTTTGTGTTTTGTTTTTTCTTTGTTTCCAAAGAAAGAAATTCCCCAAATTCTTTGAAATCTTGAAGTAAGGAAAAAAGCTTTGCCGTCAAGTCACTAAACCAGAGAAACAATTGTTTTTATTTTTTAATTTTTATAGTAAATAAATAAATAAACTCAAATTAGTAGACATTAGCAGTGGCGGCTGGGGAATCGTGTATGGGAAAAATAATAACAATAATAAACAACTGACCAATCAGCATTTGCCTTTGCTCGGAATTTTGCCCTGACATCAAAGATACCGAAAGTTTCGGGTCGCCATGGTGACAAAGTTCATAATGGCGACAACAGCGAGACCTTGATTGAAAATGCGAAGGATTTTCACGAGGAAAAGTAAGATACAGTTCATGTTCCTGAGCCTGCGGTGTTAGTTTCAGCTTCCATGTTGCTCTGCTCTTTGCCATTGTTTCATTTTTGTGTCTCATCTGCTGCCACTTGGTCTGTGTTGATAATCAGCTGTTGGACGTGGATTATTCTATGCATTTTGTCCCCTTTGATAGCAAAATGCTAATGCTGCTGTGGGTAAATGTTGCTAAGATTGAAATTTTTTATTGTTGACAGTGGTCAGGCTCTTTTGTTGCATGTTTTGAGTTTCTGTTTAATGACGTTCAGATTCGGATGTGGTGTTGGACAAGGACACGCTGAAGTTCTGTTTGCTGACTCAGATGTATGGACCTTCATAAATAAAGCCGGAGGGGTGCTTGGTGGTTTGGTCCCAGAGGAGCTTTAGTCCTTTTCATTTCTGGCTTAATTTTGCCAAAGTAGACCTCATCACTCCATCCCATACCTTATTTATGATCGAAAGGCCTTGTCTCGAGTAATAATTGATAATCCTCAGTTTTAATAGAATTTTGCTTTTTTTGAGTCTGATTTAGTTTTAGCCATTGGCCCTGATTTTATTATTCAATACTGTATATTGCATACGTTTACAAACATAACTTTTATGTTTAGCTAATTCAACACTCCATAGTATTTCACTGTATGAAGAATGTTATATAACTGTGGAACTGAAGTCAGTTTCCCACTGTTCACTGGAATCCATACTGGAGGTGGAAGAGAACTTTATCAGCCCCAGGATATTTTTTTGTTTATTTTTAACCACCACTGATTATTGGACATAAAGGCAATATATACATTAAAAATGCATGAATATTATGGATCTTTGTCTTCTATGTTATACGTGTCTATAGTCATATTTCTGTCGTAATTGCTGTTGTAAAATGAACCTGCTTTCAATTGGGCAGGTGTAAAGAGAAAGCCGGTAGGGTGAGATTGTAGTTGGCACGCCGTATGGTCCTGTGACGTAAAATCAACGATACCGTCGCCGCTGTGCATGCGCGTCGGTGAGTGTGTGTGTGTAATGAGCGCGCGCAGCTCCACATTAGATCCGTACTGACCCACAAACACCGTGTGACATCACACGGTCCTCGCTCCTAGCCTCACGCGACGAACGACAACAACATACATTATTTATTAAAAAAAAAAAAAAAAACTAACGATGAACGCTGCGACCACCGCAGCCTGCCTGTTCGTCGCTGCCTTGAGCTGCTACCTCTACGGCGCCAGCGACGTGCTGTCATCGCTGCTCGGTGTCTTTTCTGCAGACCGACCCTCCATGCCAGAGCCGGGAGATGCTCCGCGGCGAAGCCCGCAGGGAGTCCCCTACAGCGAGCTGCGGCACATCGTCAACGCCGACGGACTGCACCTGTTCTGCCGCTACTGGGAGCCCGCAAGTCCGCCAAGGTCAGTGAAAAGCGGAGGGGGCAAAACGTGATCCGTCGTCATGACCAAATCAACAGGAAAACACTCCTGCAGTCTGATCTGCCTTAATTCTGGCGGCCAGTGTGCGATCTTGTGATGTGACGTTACAAGCAATGCAGAGCACATGGCTGTTTCCCGTCATGGAGTCACCTGACTTTAAGTTTAACAGATGGGGAATTGCGGCTCAGATGACAGTTGGGTTGTCTACTGTAACCCTGCTAGATACTTGCATGCGGCTAAGCCATTCAGCTGTCCAGCACCCTGAGTTTACCTCACCAGTTAGTCTGTTTATTTTGTTTATGTTAAGGTTTAACTTTCCAACAGACAAGAGATGGTCAGACTGTGTCATCGGTGCTGAAAACTCTTAATATTAAAGGCTGTTAACCTTTATTTTTCGAGTTATACACATTGATTGGAGGTTTTCTGTTTGGATATCACGGAGCTTTAAACAATAAAAGTAGGTCAGTATTAGGAGTCAGTAATGACTCCTAATCTATAGGAAATCTGGATTATTTTGACTCATTGTGCTTCATAAAGAAATTTTAATTATGATAATCCCTGCATAGACAACATGATCACTGACACTGGGTTATGACCCTGTTTAAAAAACAGCAGAATCTGAATGTTTGGCTCAGGCTGTAAGGTAAAATAGTCACTGATGTTATTATGCATCTAGCTTTTACAGAACCAGACCGATCGCCGGCAGACTCTTTTAGTCTAAACATGTCAAATAGGATAAATAGCTTATTGCAGTTTTTAAAGTCTTCTTCCTACTTTTTTTTTTCTTGAAATAACTTGCTGATGCCAAAAAGGAGCTAACCTCGATTATTTTTCCCTCAGTAATATAAACATTGAAGAGTGTTGTTGTTACCTCAATACAGTCAAGTATTAAAGGACATGCATCAGCCCAGGAGACAATTCCCAGTCCAAATTTATGTCACAAATATTAGGCATTAAAGTGTCCCTTTAACCCCTGTGGACAGAATTAACTTTGTACATGCAGTATTCCCAATTAAACAGCATAAATGTCTGAAATCCTGACTCATTCTCCATTCTTATGAATAAAGAACATCACTGTGTCCTTTGCAAAGTGACATTCAATCATAGAAGTATTAAAACAATGCTTTTGAGTATTTACTGGAGTGCTGATGCTTCCCTCAGCCTCCTGTTGTTGGGCCCCCTGTGGTATGCACACTCTAGCTTTTTAAGCCCTCTGCACCCGTCGCATGTGTGTCTATGGCAGTGTACGAAACCCAACGCATTTCTTCCATCTCTGAGAAGTCAACCTCTCCTATCAGGCACAGAGCTGCATGCATGCCAGAAAATGATGCCACACTAAACAGAACATCTGGAATTCACACATGGGCCCACACATTTCATAAAGGCCACTGTTTGTTTTCTGACTCAGCTGTGGAGCAGATTCACGGTTTACAGCCACATCTGTATATGCGTGTGTTTACACAGTAGTCATCCGTGATTAACTCCGTGTTTGTACACAGGGTTGCTTGTATATTCCGTATACAAGCAACGGGGTATATGTGTGTTCATGCTTGGGCAGATGAGTTACAAACACTGAGGTGTTGTTTTTGTGTAACTATGACTGATGAGGCAAATATTGCCCACAATGCTCCTGTGGATCTAAACACACATCTCACTAAATCCACCCTTTAGTGTATTACCTTCTACTGGTAGATTTGTGCACATATGAATTTCTCCGACACATGTGCTAAAAAGCTAAATCAGTGTAGCATTGGAGTATCTGCAGAGTCGCTTGTGCTGTAACTGTTTTAAAGCTGCAGCTTTTTATGGCCTATGTAGGCGCTTTCTCACTGGAGAACAACCAGTAAACCTGCTAAAACCGCAAGCAGGCACAGCAGAAGGAAACAGATGAGCCCCTGTGGACTGTATCGAGTTGTGTTCACGACTTTACCGACATTTTAGATCAGTCATGTGACAGTATTGTTCATTGGAGTTGTTCAAAGCAGATCAACTGTTTTAAGTTTTAGACGCAAGCTCCACAGTTAGTAAGCATGATTCCAAAGTGTGAAACAACAGAAGCTGCAATTAAACTTTAATGTGATGGTTGCATTCTTTACCCAGACTTATTAAAAGTTTTACATTGAGTTTGCGGCTGTCGTAATTACAGACAAGTGCTTTTTGGTTTTGCTGGGTGAGGAATTGCAGCTCTGTAGTTATGGTGGAATTACAGTTGTAGTTTTAAAATGCATTTTTTATGATAAATCAACAATGTTGGGTTTTAAAAATAGTTTGGTAGAGGGATCGTTTTCAACTGGAACGTCAGGGTTGAATCACTAACCCAGCCATGTGCGAGGTGTTGTCGGCAAACATGTGAACTTCCAATTTTCTCTGATAGACTTTCTTGCATCTGTTCTGTTGGTTTGGATAAAAACAGCCTTTCTCTTTAAAAAGAAAAGACACAGACTGAAGGTTTCCTGTAATAGATCCATAGACTTGCAGTGGCCACGTGCAGCTGCTGTCAGATTATTATCATGAGACGCACTAACTGTAATATATTAGAATATGCTTCTTCCTCAGTGGAAAACTGATTTAGATCAAAGAAAATAAAGAAGGCAAAAACTTCAGTTTCAGCAAGAAAAAAAAGTATTTTAATATAAATACATTCCAGGAATGTATTTTTGGATATAGTAGAAATTTATTGGCACTACATAAAAAGATTGAGGATTTTTTTCTTGATATAAACAGAACCCAAAGAAGATTACAAAGAAATTGCTTGCAGCAATTTATGTTTTTCACAAAAAAGGGGGTAATTAACATTAATTTAGCAGTTATCTAAATGCTAATCAGAATCATTAGGGTTTTGAATAACAAAGCACTCAGACAAAAACCATGAAGGTGATTAATGTTGTCATAATAAGCAGTTTATTATTCATCACCAGGGGCTATATTAAAGCCGGTCTTTTACATTCCCATTACTACACGGTATCACAATGCCGTTTGCATTGTGTATAATACAAAGTAATAATTCTGCGGCTACTCAAAATATTAAATGCATTGAAGTGTTAAAAAGCAGAAATGAATCATTCATGCTAAAATGAAACTCCATGGTGATTGAAAGGGGAAAGCCCAACCAGGGTGACCTTTGTTGAACATACTAGAGGATTAGATGACCGAATGCAAGAATAGTTCATGAAAAATAAATATCTTAAAAAACTGTGACAGTAAGAGGATAAAGACCTGCACGCAACAGGCAAATCATAAGTAAAGAATTAGAAGGGAAACAGCCACCCACCATTTTTAATTAAATGTATTTAAAGATCGCTAATGTACCTCAAACATAAAGATAAGCAGGTATGAAATTCTCAAATCAGCATACAACTGGTTAAAACAAAAAGTTTAATGTGCAATGTGCTACTGGAATGATTTTTCCTCATCATAGTTACATAGGAATAATATCTGAGATTTTTTTATTTCTTTCCATTTTAGAACCAGAATTTTTTGTACAAAATCTCTGTAATCTGGGAAAAATAGAAGATATAACTACCTTTCTGGTAGCTTATTATTTTACAGGGGAATAATTATAAAGAATGAACTAAATATTCATGGAATTTGTTTTGTTCATGTTTCTACTCTGTTTTATTAAAAGTCATCTGGAAAAAAATACTTCATAAACTTTAAATTACACTTTCAGTGAATTAGTGGATACTTAGTACAAAAGTATTTATTTTACTGCTTACTCAAAACAGCAATAACTAAAGTGTTTGGGAAGAAATATCAACTTATTGTCTTCCGGACATTACTATTTATTCTATTTTTGAATTAATTAATTTTTTTTTTTTAACAAAATTAACTAAGTAGCTCAGAGGGAAACTATGTTAGACCAGATCACCACTGTGAAGCTGTTAAAAAAGGTGTTACTTCATTTTCACACGAAGTGAGCATAACAAAGAATTAGGTGAAAGGCTTCTGAATGGTCTTATTTTAACAAGAAACAGGTGAAAGGTAACCAGACAGACGTAGGAACGTCTGTAATCATTAACAGGGTCCTAGCAGATGTTTGACTTGACTTGGGTTAACCGTCAACAAACATGAACACACTGTCCGATTTGGAGCTACATCTGAAACCTGCACTCTAGAAACTCTTTTTGTATACAGTGGCCAGCTATAGCCCCGCACAGTGAAATGTCAGATGGGGTCAGGGTTTCCTTTCCTGTTTCCAGTTCAGCAATGTTAGGCGGTTGAAACTCTCCTCCTGGGCCTGTGGACAATACTTTCATTACAATGGTTCTCTCCGGGGTATTTATGGCAGATCTATAACGAATGATCTATGATATTGACTTAGGTGGCAGTTCACTTTAAATATTAGGAACTGATGTTCTTTTAATTTGGCTGAGGTATGAGTAATCCAGTTATAAATCATGCCAGAGGACTTTGATGATGTTCAGTGATATTATGTGTCCAGAGATGCTGTACAGTCTGTGGGAATGCTTAGTTCACAAACCTCACATTCAAGAAGTGCAGTGCGGCATTTGTCCTGGCAGTGGGTCAGAAAATCATACTTTTCCTTTGCCAAGTTGCTAAGGAGTTTATGGAGGGCAGTCAGTGGAGGTTTCTGTGGCAGCATGGGGTTCAGGCGATGCTTCTAAAGGATTTCATAATTTCCATAAATTGTGTTTTTCAGCATCTATCTTACTTCACGGTCATTTAAAGGATTATTTTTGTCATCTTTGGAAATTAATGGCATAAGCCATTTTTTGCCCAAAAAAATCAAGCTATTATTTTAGGAAGGTGACCAAATTGGAAGAATTAAATGTTGTAATAGAATTATGGTGGCAATAGAATTCTTTTATGTAGTTTTAATTGCCATTGTTGTAATGTGCAAATTTGTTGTTTTTGAGCTTTTCATTTTAAGATGGGCTCTTTGCAAAATTAAGTTCCTTTTTATTTACGACTTTCTGATAAATTGTTTCTAAAAAAAAAAAAAACACCAGTGAAAAGGAATA